GAATTGACAAAAATAGATTAAATATAGGATTCATAGTTGAACTAAAATCTCCAACTAGTGAATAAACAATAATCTAACGTACGTAAAACGCTGAAAACATGACTTCTTAATTTCATTAAAAGAAAAATACAAAAAACACTATTTTCAAAAACTCGAATTCAAAATACCTCCTTTATGACTGCATCCTAAACCCTAAACAATTATATACACTCATTCCATCTACCCTAACTTTAACCTTTTTTTAGTATAAAAACTATTTTTTTAATATTTTATACATATTCATAATAAAAAACAATATATAAGAACGCTGAAATTGTTCAACATACGATGAACTAATCCCATTGAGTTTTCAAAGAGAGGATTACTCCAATCTCCATTAAAATACTGTGATTATTATTTGACTTTTCTATTGACTCCTAAACCACAATAACCCATATAAATTCCTAATAACCTATTCCGGCACTTCACTCACAGAGAAAATTACACATATAGCAAACCAAGCTTGCAGAAGAAACTCACAATGTCCTCCCCGGCAACAACCTTTCTCCTCCTCTTGCTCTCCATGGCGGCCTTAGCCATTCCAGCCTCGGCCAACGACCGTTTGAAATCCGGCCAGACACTGTATCCGGGGGAATCGCTTCAGTACGGCGTCTTCTCCCTCACCATGCAGACTGATTGTAATCTCGTCCTGCGTGCCACCAGTTCTGAAATATGGTATACGGGGAGAGTCGCCGCTAATTGCATTCTGCAGCTGCAGTTCGATGGAAATCTTGTCATTTCTAGTGATTTTGGAGCTAGAGTTGTATGGTCCAGCAATAGCATACAGCAAAATAAGGGAGTTTATGAGCTCGTCCTCCAGAGCGACCGCAACGTCGTCATCTACGGCGAAGATGGTAAAGCCATTTGGGCCAGCAACACCAGCATGGGCGGCCATTCTGCCATGGCGGCGGTTTAGTTGCTTCTGTATATGCTTCTCTTATTTATTGTTGGACTGAAATGGCATGCAAACGGTTGTGTTTATTTCTATAAATATTTTATTTTTGGGGGCATATATAT